TTTGGAAGTTTCCTCTGAGATAGCTCTCATCCCACTTCCTGAAAAACGCTGCAGTTATTCTTTCCAAAGTTAATAGTTTTTGTCAACAGCATATGGTAGCACCAGTTTGAAAAACCGTTTTGGGATTATGCAGCAAGCAGATACCACAGAGTCAGTAGACAAGGAACTGCAAAGCTAACTTGTAAGGAAAGGACAGACTGAGTTGAAAACACCAAGATACTGACCGTAAATCAGGCAAGGACAGGTTGCTTGCAGTTACTAACATTAAGGAACATGTGCCTGAATGGAACTGAAGCAGGTAGAATAACCAGGTAACTCCTTACTAGATTAAATTAGATGTAAATTGCATTGTTTCTTTTGATTGGTAATCTAACCTGTGTTTTCTACTCCACAGGACATTCACCTATTCATGTGAATAATGGTGTGTTGTGGTAATCTGTACATATTAAAGTATTTGCTATAGCACTAAACTTACTCAGCTACTGTTTTTCCTTACTTTAGTATTCATGAAAAATGAAATGCTATTGTTCTTCTCTGTCCACTTGCTTACAGCCACTTTGCCTTGGGTGAATGGCTCTGATCTTAATTGTGGCAGTATTGTTGGACCAGATCTCTGTCAGCACACTGTGTTTGTGGTGCTGTGCTGGATAACACGTGTCTAAGAGGTTTGTGGGATACAAAATCTCTCACAGCAGCAGCTCCTGCAGTACTTGGCTTCATTTTAGACATTGGAATATGCATCTTTCACCTGGGTCCGGTCCAAGCTCTGTACCAAAACTGGTGGTCAAATACATTGCAGTGGTCTGCCTGAACCTGGATACAGCCTGGGAAGGCACCAGGACATAAGATATGGATCTCACTGGCAAAGATGAATGCGGTGATCTTGCCCAGCTATCCTTGTGTCCTTTGCCACAGCACAGTGCAAATAAACTCAGACCCTTCTACTCTGGCATTAATGATCCACTGCTCAGAGTTTAGAAGATACTGTGAAATATGCAACATGCTAATGATGGATAAGTCCCATTTTGCACATTTAAGACATTTGCCAAATAATAACAGAGAAATAGTTTATGGATTTTTGTGCTTAATTACTTAAATTTCTGTTGTAAGATACATAATATCTAGAAGGGCAGTATAGTCTTTCCAAGAAGGAGGAAAAAAAAAAAAGGAGCAAAACTATGTGCTTATGAGGTATGAAATGGACTAGATTTAGCTTGGCAACATTTTAGAAATGCTTTTGCATGTAGTCCCTTTTATTGTTAAGATAAAAATTATGTGTTCTCAGCCTGGCAAATGTTTGTACGTCTAAAATTGAAATCAGAAGTATTAAATGGGAGTAACAACTTATATACATTTTTGCAGGTTTGAACTTGAGATTTTTCAGAGCTTTTCAAATGAAGATGAACTTAGTTTAAACAAGGAGAAAGTGCTGTTTATTCCTTCTCCATCCCAGAACAGTCTGCACTGTTGAAAAATTGAGGTTTTGTGTTCTAGAAGCTGTAACAGTGTTTCTGCTAACACTGAATTTACCAAGTGCATGCTATGGCAGCTTCACAGATGGAGTATGAGTAACAGGAAAGTAGTACCTATTCTGTAAATAAGCCTACTGCTTCTTAAATAAAAAAGAATCAGACCTTCTTCCCTTAAAAAAAAAAAATCAACTCTCAAGATTTTTAATCACTTTCTTTCACTGGAATTTTTTTTTTGTTCTTAGAGTTAGTAGTGGAAGTCTTCTCATTTCAAAAGAGTTTTTAGCCTAATTTAATAAATAAATGAGACCTAAGCAATCTGTTTTGTCTTTGTTTGCTTATCTTCCTGTCCCCTCTTCTTCCAGAACCCTTTGTTACTTGATATCAGCCAAAATAGATGAGCCGCCAATCTCAAAGGGAAACGTGTTTACACAAGCTTTGTGAAAATTGGCTTCTAAATCAGAGGCTTGTTAGAGTGCCAGAGCTAGTGCTGGGGTCACCCACAGACCATGGTGTTTGCTGGCTGTTCGAGAGTGACTGGGATCCATGTGCTGGCTGGCAGTCAGCCCTTTGCCTGCCTCTGGCTCGGGCAGACAGAGCAAAAACAGGCTGGGAGTGTAGGGGCAGGGGCTGAGGGTGCTGCAAGGGAAGGAACAAGAAAGGGAAGGTTTGGGGTATTGCTGTGGTGGTGCTGTGGGGGGACTTGGGCAGAAACCGTGTGAGCAGGAGGAGGGCTGAGTGGGTCTGACTGAGAGAGGGGAATTTAAATCCTAGGGAATCATGCTAGACTCACTTCAGGGTTCAGAGGACAGTTTGCTGATCACTACGAACAGTCTGACAGGGCATTTAGCTTGAAAAATGCCAAGCCTGATAAAGCATCAGCTTGTGACTCACCAGCAGCCCTCTTTCTATTTCACCATGAAATTTTGGATGTTTTTGTGGTAGCCCTTGCTTGATATGTCTCTATTTTGTCCTAATACTTGAACCTCTTTGTATAAAAAATATTTGCAAATAAGCAAGGAATCCCTACTATACAATTCTCAGCTTCTGTTTGGAGTGTGGGAATTGTTGCTACTTGTTTTCAGGTGTTTCCAAATAGCCAACATTTACCTGCCTGACAGCAATAGGGTAGTTTAATAGATTTGATGGGACCTTGGCACACAACCTCATCTGAGCAAGAGTAGAAAACCTGGTTGTGCAGATTATTCTTGAGATTTAAGAAAGATTTGTGCAGAACTTGTATTAACTCTTATCATAGAATCATGGAATCAACTGGATTGGAAGGGACCTCTGAGATCATCAAGTCCAACCCTTGATCCACTACCACTGTGGTTACTAGACCATGGCACTAAGTGCCACATCCAGTCTCATCTTAAAAACCTCCAGGATGGAGAATCCACCACTTTGATAGTACAAACAAGGCCAGAATAAATTTTTTAGTCCTGTCTTCAGTATCATAACATGGAGACTGCTAAAAATTTGGGCTCTAAAACCCTGCTGGTGAGAGCCAGGCTGCTGCTGTTACTTGCCTTTGTGGGTGGGATTGTTGAATTGGTATTCTTCTCATTCCCTTTCTCACAGCTGCACTGTTCCTTTTTATGTTCTTTTATGACTTTCTGATTTATCTCCACAGTTTGTTTTTAGGCTGTAATATTTTCATACCATAATTCCTCAGTCTGATCTCGATCCACTCTCTGTTTCAGCTCTTAATTAGCACTGGTGGTGACTGCACTAACAAACACCTTCTTGGCTGTACACAATGAGCTACGGCATCATGTAACTCAACCCACTACTGTGATATGCCTACTAACAGCATCAGTGAATTTGGCCAAACTTTTGTTTCTGGGCTGCTATTTGCATGAATTTGTTTAATTTTCTTGTTCTGGGATGAGGATTATGCCTTCTAACGCCAGGCAACCTCACGTTCATCACTTGCAGAACTAAGCTTGATTTGCTTTGATTTTTTTTTTTCCAGTGCGGAACAAGTTGAGGGATATAGTGGGAGCATCTACCAACTGGAGGTACAGTGTGCATTAAATGTATTTTACTTTATTTGTGAAACTGAGGTAGTTGAAACAAGGCTTCTGAATTGGTACTTTGTGGATCACAAACTTCTGAGATTTCTCTGGCAGAAGATCTTTGGCACCAAAGGAACAAAGTATATGATGTTTATGTGTAAAAGATTGTCCCGTTACCTTTGAATCCAATGGAAGTTCAAGAGCTGTAGAGTCAGTCTGGCTGGCAATGACATGTTGCTGTTACCTTTGAGTTACCTGTAAGTGGATTGCCCACATGGTGAATTTATCCTGCACTGGATTCAGAGGTTGGTTCACTGTGAAGCAGGCTGCATGTCACTTTGGAAAGTTGTCAGCTCAGTATTAGGGTCTCCTTAATCACGAGCATCTTTAGCATTTCCTTTGTCTGCTCTAACTTAATTTTTGACTAATTTACATATAATTTAAACAATTGACGTTTTGACCTTATTCAGGTTACCTTCCTCCCTCTCCATTACGTTGACTAAGCCAGAGTTGTCTGTAATCCTCTACTGTTACAATTCTGGAAAATTCAGTATAGCAGTCTAGGGGAATTATGTATTGCAGCTTGGTTGGTCCCATGTGTATTGTTAATTTTCTTATGGCTGTGTTTGCTCTTCTTACACACTTTGTGCACTGATAGGGGAATGAAGAGAGGTTCACCTGGGTAGAATGTCTGATGAAGGTCTTCTGGTTCAGTTTATCTAGGCAGAATTGTAGGCATGCTAACAAAAGTGCCTGAATCCAGGAAGCTGATTTTTGCTTAGTAAGAGTAGGGTCTAAGCATGAAGGGGCTTGAAATTTTCAGTGGGTCAGCTAGAAAGGGCTCTAGAAATTGTTTTATGAAAAAGCTTTTCCCACAGCCCAGAATGGCTGGGGAGAAATGACTCCGTGTGGAAATACCATCGGAGGATTGAGATTTTAGAGGGCTCTGGTCAAATCTGACCCACTGCCCCCATCCTGGAAGGAGAGCATACTGAAGCCAGGATCAGCACAGCAGTGTTTTTCTTAGATAGGTATGTCTTTTGTGCTGTGCAAGATGCAGCAGAAATGGTTTACAGAGTACTGAATGCTTCAGCTGCCATGGAGAAGTAAAGCTGGGGAGACCATAGCTGGGAGTGCTTGAGAATGACAGGTTTAATTGGGGAGGTTAGGAGGGCATGGATCATGTAGCCTTTGAGATCCCACTTTTAAAATGCAGTGACAAAGAGTTGATACATGTGGAGACTGAACAGCTGGGGATGAAATTGAGGCCTCAGAATGACTGAAGAGGACAAATCTGAGGGAACAGGATGATAGGGGTCCTGAAATTGGAGCTAGAGAAGGACTGATATACATACATCTGGATTGTTGGGAGAGAGGAGACATGTATGTTGGAGGAACACCTTCAGCCATCAATTTTGTGAAAAGTAAACTTCAGTTTGTGATTTCTCTTGTAAAGGCCAGTGGCATTTTGTATTCATTTATTATTAAAAAGAAATATCTTGCTTATATGTTTATTCTGGTTTTGTACTTAAATTGTAATTAAAATTATTAATCTGTTCCTTGTTAAATGTAGTCTAGATGAAGTTGTGGACATTTCAGAAATAGATAAACATTTCTCAGAATGTTTAGGGCAGGTGTTAGTTAATAATTAGGTGAATTATTGTTACTGTATGACTAATACTGCAGTGTGTAACAGTATTTGTTTGTTGAAAAATGTTACTGCGTTGAGCCCCATACTTCTGTATATTGAAGTGCAAATTCTGAAGTGGAAGTCAAGAAGAGTTCTGCTGCTGACCTCAAAGGAGCCAGGATGGGACTGGTGAAAACAGAATATAATCGAATTTTTATTGTTCGGTTTCTTTGTGTTTGTAGACAAATTTCTGATGTACTCTTTGATTAATTTCTCTTAAACCTTTCACTGAGAGACCTTGGAAAAAAGTTTTTTAAAAAGCCTGAAGGTGAATTATCTTGAATGTTACATCTTTCCTTAATCATCTCATATATTCTATTTCTATGCCGTGGCATAATTTCAAACATTAACCCTCTGGAGGAGGTTGTTATCTTTCTGTTTCCTCTGAACTCTGTGGTAGTCATGTTGCCAAGAATAGGTAAACCATATCTCTTGTTTAAAACAAACAAACAAATTAAACTAACTGAAGTTTTCTGCTAGACTTTTACTCTCTTTGATTATGGATTATTCATATTTCCCAAAAACTTATTAAACAGAAAAGAGAGAATATAAATATGGTGAAGCTTGACTTTCTGAAATAAAACTCAAACCAAGTAAGCCTGCATCTTAAATTGCTAATACCCAGAATTCATCCAAAGTCAAAACTTAAGACAAATTTTCTTTTTGGTGAAAAGGTTCTCTCTTTCTCCCTTTCTTCCTTTCCCCCCTCTCTCTCTTTCCCTCTCTCTTTCCTCTCTGGTTTTGTTAAACACAGTGTCACTGATCTCAGCAGTGCAGCTTGCACTAACTGAAGGAATGATGCATATCCAGAAGTTTAACGTTGGTTGCTTGGTGTTTTATGCCTTGCCTTGCTCTATGAAATGGATCCATAGTTTTGCATACTCCTTGGAGGTGTTGCATGTTTAACCCTTAGGTTTTTAATAGATTCTAGGGATGTTATGAAATATTTGCTTTATTTGGTTAGGTTGCACTTTTAAGAGGAGGGAACTTTGGTGGAACAGGTAAGAGAGAACATTGGGCAAGACTGTTACATCTTGTAGATACCTGTGCAAGGAACCAGCTTGATAGATTGCAGAGAAGTGACAGTAAGTTGGCCCTTATTTGACTGTGAGAGTTGCAGCCCCTCTGATTTGGTGGTGCTGGAAAAGTAGCTCTAAAGGAGCAGTGCTCCCTTCTCTGTATTGTTTCTTTCTGTAACTTTTCTGTATAGTCGTAAGATATCTGGGTAGGAAGAGAGAGAGAGAAAGAAATAGGTTAGTTTTCCCTGTCTTTTAGCTTGCTGTATGAACTGATGCTGTAAAGGGGCAACTCACCTGTGGATGATAGCAAATCTTAGCAGGTTAGTTCTCTTGTTCTTAGTACTAGCCAGCACTGTACAGCTGCTTTACTTCTTGGGAGAGAGTATAAATTGATGTTCAGTTCTTTAAAATTGTCACTGTGGCAAGAGTTGTGATACTGTAGCTATGGAAGACATGAATATGCACAAAAACTCATAGGTTAAATTGTATCTGATTTGTTCTTTTCAAGGGGAACCATTCTGGTTACATTCAGAATTAGATTAATTTTGTTCATAAGTGTGAAGTATGTGCTTGCCACTTGTACACAAAGATATTTCAAAGCTTTCTGCAGTAGTCTTGCTTAGCATCTCTCATTATATGCATCTCACTTTCTTTTCAAGGCTCACTTACTGTGTCTTGCTATTTTCACTGCGTTTTGGTTTTCATTTTGATAATCATCAGTGTGACATCTTTTAGCTGGGGTTGCAGTTGTGTTGTCATGCTCCAGACAGATTGTTTGTTTTTTTTTTTCTTACCAGTGATCATGTGCAAGCAATGCAAGAAAGAAAAGCTCTTCATACTTTACTGGCAAAACATCAGGAAGATCTCCCTCCCAGAAGAATGAAGGACAGCTACTTGGAAGTTATTCTACCTCTAGGAAGTCAGCCTGAAATAAGAGAAAAGTACCTGAATGTACACAACAGTGTAAGGTAACAAAGCAACCATGTTACACATACAGGAAACTGTTAACTTCCATTTGCTATGTAAGTAGGTATTTAATTGTCAAAACCCCTGTCTTACAGATTTGGAAGGATCCTTGAAGATCTCGACAGTTTAGGAGGTATGTATCTGTGCCCTTTTAAACACTCCACAAAGTGATTTTGAGTACTGCTGAGCACTGTTTAGTGTGATACAGTATGACCTCGGGCAGAGAATCCCATAATTGTGCTATCTCAAAGGGGAAGGAAAAAAAGACGACACTGATGCTGGAAAGAAAGGATGGATGATAAAGAACAGACAGAAACAAAATTGTTCCACTTCAGCTTCTTGCCTCTGTCAAATTTTTAATGGACCAGTTACAAGAATAATTTACTGAAAAGTGAATTTTAGATTTTAGATTCTGAATCTGCATTGAGTGTTAGCTCAGAGATGATTTGCACAGTGTGTATTGAAAATTAAAACTTAAGATTGTTTTTTCTTAAAAAAAACTCAACAAAAACTGACACAAAACCCAACAGAGGTTGGAAATATTTTAATCTTCCCTTTGGGGTGAAGAGTGTATAATCTGGAAAGAAAAGAGTGTAACCACTGAGAACAAATTAAAAACAATTGATGTATATTCTTGGGTTCTGTCTCCAAATTGATATTAAGGGTAAAACCGGCTCAGTTATTTCATGAGTTAGCATCCTTACTTTTTTTTCTTCTTTTTATTTCTTTGTGGTCTTGAAAAGTTCAAGATCTTTGACTTTTGTATTGCAATTAAAATAAGTACTAGGTTGTTGGAGATACTTTTATCTTAAAAAGTCACCAGGTGACTTCCTTCTTCATCAAAGTTCTGTAGCTGGTTGGGAGCTTTTCAATGGAGGTTTTTGACAAAGAATAAGTGCTTATGGAGGGAAAGCTGTGAATGGAACAGTTTTTTTCTGTTCCTTCTGAGGGTCCAGATACACAAAATTGAGGAAGGCAGAGAAACAAGTGAATGTATGTCTATCTAGGATAGACACAATAGCTGGATGATTTATATATTTCCTTCCGGGAGGTGGAAGATACTGGCTTCAGCACCTGTCCTGAATTAGAAAAGGAGACTTCAAACTGTTGGCTATCCTCCATTGTTAGATGAGATGAGCCTGTTTTTCATTCTCTGCCTTGTTTATTTTCCCTGAAAATCTGTGATCATCTTATTTTTTCTGTGATGGCACAGAATGTCTTTGCCTTGTTTGCAGTCATACTGTGCTCCAGTCAGTTCCACTGGGGATGTATTGTTTTGGGTTAATCAAGATTCTGTCCCAATTACACAATATTCAGAATGGCCATATTGATGTAACGAGTTGATAGGCATAACAGGTTTTAGAATTGTGTCTCCAGTAATTTTAGGGGGAAATATAGATTACTTGGAAGGACAGAGATCTTTCTTCTCTTATCTTGTTAAGTCCAAACAGATACTTTTGATTATGGGAATCTGTGTTGAGTGAAAGTCACATGAGGACTAGGACAAACCCTATTTTTGCAGCCTTGAATTACTCTAAGGAGTCTGTTTACTTGGATGTGCTCTTAAGAACAAAGCTAATTAGTTTAAATAGTGGTTTGGCTTTTAGTGACTGCAGTGTGATAAATATCTCTGACTGTGCTTTCATGCCTGTAAGGCACATCTTATTTGATCTTCACCTCTTTAAAGGAATCAGTATTTTAAAAGTCCTCAAATAGCATGTATCCTTGGACAACCTGCATGAAATCAAAACAGAAGATAGGAAGAATCTGAGATAGTGGGCTTCAGGAGTAGAGAAAATAGATTATGTGGGATTTGGAGTAGAGTGATGAGTTGATTTAAAGTGCTTAGCTAAATTTCTCTTTGTAGTGAGTCAATATGCATAATATTGAGCTGCTGCATCACTGTTTTCTTTATAGCAATCCCATATGTTAAATGCATGAAAATGTGGAAGTTGTGCTTTCCTACAGTAGGATATTTTAGTTTGTGTTTTGCAGGTACTTCTCATGCTTTGCAAAGATGGCTTTGATCTGCTCCACTAATGTTTTTGTTAAAGAGCTGACTCAATTTTTGTTCTCTCCGCAGTTCTTATTTGCTACACTCACACCAAGCAGGAAATGCAACCAAAGTCTCCCTTATCCATAGTCACAGCTCTGGTGGATAAAATCAGTAAGTGGCAATTTGGTCAATAGAAATGGCTTCATCTGTTTGTCTTACTCTTTCAGCAGCCACTGCCTTCCCATGGTTGTTGAGGATACCTTCTTCACGCTCCTGTTTAGTTCACTTCATCTTGTTTTGGCCTTGAACTCTCAAGTATTGGGGCTTTTGTTGAAGGAAGGAGAGAAGAGGATTTTGTAGTGCTTTCTAGCATTTCATATGTCACTTCAAAATACAACTTTCATGCTTTCTACACTTCTATGTTTAGTTTTCTCTTGGCATCTGGGTTTCTTAGCTTCATTATGGAACACTGTTTGTTCTGGTGGAGTTGGGACCTTGCTTGTGTCACGTGTTCTGCTGAACACCTCCGGGGGTCTGCTGTCCACCTGTGTGACTGCTTCCTACTCCAGTTCTGGCTTGAGAAGTCTGGAAAGGCAGAAACTGCAGACTAGCAGTTTGGTCCTTTGCAACAACCAGCTTTTCTGGGTTGTCTTTGCGCGTGTTGCCACCTTCAGAACACAGAAAGGCCTTAGAGAATCTGGCCTTTCTAGTATTAGATGTGAGTGATCTGTCTCCAGTAACCCCTAATGTTTGTCTTGTAGATTTGTGCAAGAAGATTATATATCCAGACTGTGACATCAAATTCACAGGCAATGTTTCTTGGGTTGGGAAGACCTCAATGGAAGTGACGATGCACATGCTGCAGGTTAGTTCCTGTGACTTCTCTCCATCTTATGACAGGCATGAGGTGCTTCAGGGGAAATTCTGGACAATGGCATGAGCAATCTAAATTATGTATTCTAGAATAACTTTCTGCAGGGCTTGAGGCAGCCCTAATGTTCTGAAGACCAAGGCAACTTCCAGTAGTCTCTATGCAGCAAGGCAGTCTTGCTAATCTTTCAAGACGTGTTTTTCTTAACCAGTATTTTGTATTTAAAGTGCAGCACAGTACTCCTACTGAAAAAAATAGGTGTCTGTGCTCTGCATGATCTCAAATAAGCTTCTCCCTGCTTTTGAAAAACTTTATTTTCCTTATGCCTTATCATTTTATAGATTTATGAATTTTAATGTTGATATTCAGATTTGGTGTTAAGTTGTATCTCATGTGCTCATCTTATCTACTGTGTAGCATAATTTTTTTAATGAGTTATTAAATAATAATGGGATATAAATGAAGGCTGTAACTAGGCTACACTATGCAGGAAGCAAAAGGAACATTAATAATTAAATTTAAAAAATCTTAACATTTCTAATAAATATTTACTATGAATTCATTAGTTAACTGAAACATTAATTCAGTTATTTAATTATTTAGAGTAAAAAAGATATGCTATAAACACTTAAATGATATTAGTGATTCCTTTGGAGTGAGTCCAGAGGATGACCACTAAAATAGTCAGAGGGGTAATAGTCAGAGCACCTCCCCTGTGAGGAAAAGCTGAGAGAATTGAGACTGATTATCCTGGAAAAGAGAAGGCTTTGTGGTGACCTAATTGTGGCCTTCCAGTACCTGAAGGGAGCCTACAAGAAAGATGGAGAGGGACTTTTTAGAAGAGCCTGTAGTGACAGAACAAGAGGCAATGGCTTCAAACTGAAAGACAGTAGGTTTAGATTAGATATTATGAAGAAATTGTTTACTGTGAGGGTGGTGAGGTTCTGGAACAGGTGGCCCAGAGAAGTTGTGGATGCCCCATCTCTGGAAGTGTTCAAGGCTAGACTGGACAGGGCTTTGAGCAACTTGGTCTAATGGAAAGTGTCCCTGCCCATGGCAGGGGGGTTGGAACTAGATGGTCTTTAAGGTCTCTTCAAACTCAAATCATTTTGTGATTCTATGATTCTGTGATAATTCAGAAAAACAGATAAATATTTTTTTATTCGCTTGGTCTCCTTAAATAAAATCTCTTATGTAGAAGATAATGTTACACCTTTATTGTCAGAGTTCCTTGCAGTGCTGGCATTAGTGGCAGTTTGGTATTAACAGAAAAGTATTTTTTGGCATTTTTCAGAATAAATGTTAAGTGGGTACGTTTACAATGCCTGTGTTGATTTTCTCCTCTCCCAGCTGAAAACAGTTAATAAGCATTCCCTACTAAATGTTTCACTGCAGAATTCCTGAAACTAAAGTTTTAATTTGCATTATTTCCTTATCTTTGACCTATTGTGAGAGATGTTGGAAGGGATGACAGAATGTGAAAGTAAGCAAAATTAACAGTGTGGTCACATAGTTGATGTCAACTAAAGAGCTTGCTAAGCATGTTTACAATTTTAGAGTTTAATAATACATTTTTTTTCTGTCTCTCTTAGCTACATGATGGTGATTACAGCCCTGTGTTAGATGCAACCTTTGTCATGGTGGCCCGGGACCCAGAGAATAAACGGTAATTTGTGGGACAGGAAAATAGTTTTCTGACTCTTGCTGTGCTGAAAATGGCAAATGTGGCAGCTTGCTCTGTATGTGTGGAAGCCCTATAATGTAGGTGTTAAATGAATCACATAGTCAATGTTTTCTGCTGGCAAGTGTTAACTTCCCTGTGACAAGCTTCAGAGTATTGATTTCAGCAGTCAAATGATACCAGGATTTAGTGGTAGTCTTGGGATCTGACCCTTTTCTTTAACAGATTTTCCCTTCGTTTGAGTGACTGGGCTGAATGAACACAAGAAGTGAATAAATCTGCCAGAAACCCAATTGCATTCTAGTAGTTGTTAGAGCTAAAGATAGAGTTTCAGTAGTTAAATAGTCTTTGAGTGAACAATACCATTAATTCCCTAATAGACACTTGATAAGTGTCACCAGAATAATTCAGGCTGCAACTTGCATGTGTAACTAACATGGAACTGATAAGTATTCCCACAGAACTTTCAAAACCCCTAAACACTAATTTTGTTCTTTTTCTGGTTTTACTTTATCTATAATTTCTTAGTCATTAAACTAACAGGCTGCTCAGTTGCAGTTTTGCTTTATAACTCCAGCATCAAATAAATGGTTGTATTTCTTAAGCTCTTTCCTGTACAGCCCGCCAAAGTAATAAACTATTTCCTGTTTCCAACTAGTTTAAATAATTGCTTGTATTTAATGAAGAAGGGTGTGTTTAATGAAGGGGTTTTACTTTATTTAATTATGTAGTCCTGATAGCATTAGGAGTAGTTTTTAGTTTGGTTTCCTTCAGATTTTTTTTAGAACCAATGAACATACTATACATTAAGAAAACCACTTATATTTATGGTTCTCATTCTAAGGACTAACTTTGCAAAATAATTACATCAAACCTGATGTCATTATGCACTAGCAGATTGACTGAGGACAAGCCTACATGGACTTGTGCAGATAGATGCAAACTTTAGTGTCTGTTGTACAGGCTAGCTGGCCACAGGCCAGCTGTGTTTCTGTCCATATAAGGAGGGTATTTATGTGAGGTAAAAACCCTTCAGAGAGATACAGGGTACAATAGGTTGGCTATAGTGCCACAGAAATGTGGTTGTGTGCCTTTTGGACTATAGCAAACTTGCATCTCAGCAGCTTGGGGCTTGGGCAGGAGAGCTGAGGTAGATGTGTCCTGAGCTGAGGAGAGGGGAAATAAACTCTGCAGTGGAGAAGGAGCTGCTTTGTCTTCAAAATCCAGAGATTTAGCAAACCAGGAAAGAGCAATTTGTTATAGGAGAAAAGATCCTCTCTCTGTGTGCCTCTTGTCACCAGCACAAGTAAAGACTTGGGGTAGAGGTGGATTGTTCAGTGCATACTTTGTGTATATGTATATGTTGTTTGGAGCATTTGTATAAATGTTGAAAATAGAAAAATAATAATTAGGAATTACAGGAAAGAATGGTTCTTGAAAATAACCATTTGCCTTTACTTTTGAAAATAATTAAATGTCATATAATTAGGTTAAAGTAAACTTACTTGTGCGGTAAAATAAACATAAAAATTTGTGCTCAAGGCATGTCATAATCTTCTTTGATAAGTAGTACATGTGGTAAACAGCTTTTGGCTGTTGATAAGGCTGTCATGGGAGCATGTAGATTATAAAAACACTTGCTAGCTATGCCACCGTGCTCTTTCTATTCCAGGAGGAATGGTACCATTCAGCTTTTGGTTTAGTCTATCCTAGATCATCATGGCTTCATTTGCTGAGTTTCTAAGCAGCTTTCTGCTTGAATAATCTTTATTATAATTTATAGGTACAATTTTATCTTCTTAAGAGGGAGAGATGCATCTCTTTATTAATTACACTAGGTAGTGTTTGGATCACTTAACTGCCTCTTCAGAGTTAAAGCTAATGGGATATTCTTTTGGCAGCTCCACATTATGAAATAATGCAATTATTTCTATGATATAACCTGAAGTATGTCTTTTCATCTTGTAGTGTGTATGTAACAAAAAATGGAAGACTGTTATAATGTATTTATAGAACAAATTCTTGTGAAGTTCGTAACTTAAAAAAAATTCCTGTCCATAGGCCAGCATTTGTTAATCCACTCGTTCCTGAGAGTCCTGAGGAGGAAGAAATCTTCAAGCAAGGAGAATGTATGTCATATTTCCTGGTAGTATGTACATCTGCCTCAGGTTCAACTCAATAGCTGGAAGGAAGTAAACTTCAGCAGTTCTGCTACTTAGAAATGCTCCTAATTTATTTAAAATCAGATTTTTTTTCTGGCTCATGTGTGTCAGTAGTGTAAGAGAGTTTCAAAGCCTGCTATCACATACTTGGAAACTATTTGGCTAAACTGGCAGATAAGGGCACTCCTGATGTGCTCTGCACACCCCCTGGACTCCTGTGTTTGCAGGATGCTCCCTCTGCTTCGGGTCTGAGTGCAGCCCAGGCTCTCCTAATGCTCTGGCTGATGGGTTACCCCATGGTGGACCTGCCTAAGTGCATCACAGCTCCTTACTGTCTGGGTGCCCATGTTCCCTTTGGAAAGACACTGAGAAAAAGAAAAGGGGGAGAGCAGGGGAAGGAGTGTGTAGTTCCATCTTCTTTTATTCCAAGATGAAGTTTTAAAGCAGAGAATTAGAGAAACATTGAAGACTGAATAAACTGGACTGAAGATCTTTTAAGCTAAAGTTTCAATCATTGCAGCCTATGGTAATGAGTTCTGTCATAGATTTCCATTCTTGTACCACTGGCAAAACCCGAAGGTGGTTGTTCTGTAGGGTTTCTTGTTAGATATGTTTTTCTGTACTTTGAGGGTAGTACTCAAGTTTTCTGTAGAAGCAGTGGGTATCATAATACACGTATTGAAGTTCTTCATCAAAGCGGTGAGGTAGCAGTAAACTTCTGCTTTATTTTTTCTTTGATGCAGTCAATTCTAAAAGCCAACTTTGTGTTTGAATTGATTGGACCAGGAAATTACAGCTTTTAACCTACGGGGGAAAAAATAAAAAAGGAAAGACAGTTGATTCCAAGCTAAAATTGTCAGAACCATTATTTGTTTTTTTCTCTGAACTCTAATGCTATGAGTTTTTTTTAATATTTAGTGAACAAGCTGAGGAGGATTGAATTCAGCACTGCTTCCTTACTGAAAATGGCTCCCACTGCAGAAGAAAGAAACATTGTGCATGACATATTCCTTCATACTTTGGACACAAAGTAAGAAGGGGAGTGGTGGAGGAGAACTGATGTATTATGAAAGAGAAAGGTGCCTTTTGAGTGGGTGCTCGTAAGAGTCTGGAATAAATGAACACATTTAAATTCTGTGGCATTTTATTTGGAATGTAGGTACAAACTTTAATGTGACATCTGCAGCTCTCAAAAGAGTCTTCAGTTGTTACATAGTGTTAGCTGTACCAAGATGGTGAAAGGGACACTGTAAGCACAAAGACCTGAGCAAGCTGTTAGGAATGATCTTGAGGAAAAAGGTTAATGATGTTTAACCAAATAAGAGAATGGATTAGTTTTACAACCATGACTTGTACAGTCTCAGAGTTTTCTGCCATGATACCTAGTTAAAAAACCTGTGAGGGCAGGAACTGGCCTTATTATGACCAAATAACTTTGTAGTGTGACCTGACAACATTATTTGAGAGAAACTGTTGATGGCATACTTCTCTTATATTTAAGATTGATGTGGAATCATCTGATGCCAATGGTGATAGAACAGTGTCTAATGACAGTAGTGCAGTGTTATATTTGTGATAATTTGTAATTTTTTAAACATTATACAGTTGTTATTTTTAAAACTGTTTACTAAAGGGAGACATGCTTTCCCTTAAAATTAGCAGATGTATTTTGTACACATTCTGTCTGGATTTGAAAACCTCAAACTGTCTGTGTGTTTGATGTTGAATTATTCTGTTAGCTCATTGTGTGCTTTTAATTCCTATTATGACTTAAAAAAACAGAATAAGGTTTTTCTGACAAAATGTGTGCTTTGTGGTTGTGATTCATCTTTTCTTTCATGTGCTTTTCTTGAGCCTCATAAGTCACATAAACTTGAACATTAGTAGAAGTTTTCAAAGGATCAGGAGCATAGGTTTATTGCAGTAACAAATCAAAGTACTATCTTAGATAAGGCTTCAAGGTCAGTTGGAATAGTGTTTAGTGACACCCTTTCTGTTTTGGGGTTATTTTAGTGTTCCATATTTTTGTGGGATTTTTTAAATATGTGTCTGCATTTGCTATTTATGCATTTTTGGCTGCTGAATTCTGCTAATTCTGTAGACTGTAAAGTTTTTTGTCTCTTCCAAAGGACAGTAAGTTTCCGGAGTCGTAAATTACCGCCCAATTCAGTGTGGATGGAAGATACAAAGCTAAAAGGCCTACAGATTTGCCATCCTCAGGTATTTTGAAAAATATTAATGAATTACAGAAGTAATTAAGAAGTAACTTTAAAAGGGAATTTTTACAAGGACATGAATTGACAGGATAAAGGGTAATGGCTTTGCACTGAAAGAGGGGGGGTTTAGATTAGATTGTAGGAAGAAATTTTTTACTATGACTGTTGTGAGGCACTGGAACAAGCTGCCCAGAGAATTTGTGGATGCTCCACCTCTGGAAATGTTCAGGGCCAGGCTGGATGGGCTTTTGAGCTCTGGTCTAGTGGGTGAGGTTGAATTTTTATGTAAGATTAGTCAAACCATTATTTTGTTTCCCTTCTATAGTCCTTGCAATGTATTTAGATCATAGTTTCTTTTGCCAGTTTTTTGTTATTTGTATGGGTTACCACTGCAAAATAGAAGATCTTTAATGACCTTGTTTTCTTACTAGACTATTCATTCTGTGTAAAGAAATTCCTTTGTAAAGTGTTTGCAAAAAGTTTAGCCTTTGGTTGCTGACACAATTTTGAGTTGTTATCTTTTGTTTTCCTAATAAGTAAAGTTGCCTTGGGCATTTTGAATTTTGCATGTATATTTCAGTAGTGCTTTTTATATATTCAGGTATTGGGATTTCTGTTAAATACTGTAAAGTGAAGTGCAAACTTCAACACAATCCTTTGAAAAGAGTTTTGATTTTTGTTTCTACATACAGGAACGGAACATCTTCAATAGAATCTTTGGGGGTTTTCTCATGAGAAAGGCATTTGAACTGGGATGGGCAACTGCTTGCAGCTATGGGTGAGTTGTAGGCCTGGAATATTTATATAATCCAGATCACTGTGCACATATACATAGGTCAGGAAGGCCAAGCTAACCAACCTAATGACTATCTGAGCTGAGAAAACCTAGGTGTCTAGTAGAATCTTGAACTATTAGTGCACAGGGCTGTTTTACTTAGGGCACCTGTTGTATTTACAAAGAGATTTGCATCTTGCTCCTTGGAGCTTGGTTTTTAAGCATCACTTGTCAAGATAGAAAACACATCCATTTTCTGTTTTCTTTTAACTTACCAAGGTATTCAGATGAACTTTTGAAGATTCATTTTCTTTGTAACCATATAAAATAGACATTCTAGCAAATAAATATTACATCCTTTCATTCCATACACAAAAGGAATGGTTTCTGACCTTCTAGTAACTACTTGAGCATGACTGAAGTCATCACCCAGCAAAGCTCTATGTGTCAGTTAAATGGAGTATGCATTGCCGGATACAAAGTTAAGTGGTTTGTGTCACTGCTTGGAAAATTGAGGCCTGAGCAATGGTGGCATGAAGATCATCTAGCAAGTGTAAGTCATAGGATAGAATAATGATGCAATAACATGTCCTTAGAGACCGTGTACTTTTATTGGTGTGAAAGATTTCCTCCAGTTACTTTTGTCTTTGGTGATGACATAACTCATTAGCACTTCCTGTGGCCTCTTGTTTAAGGAAGAGATTTGTTCTCTAGCAACCCTTCATTAAAATGCTGCCAATAAAATATTTTAAATTTCTCCAAACATCCTTTTTATTCTTGAGACAAAATTTCTCTTTTGCTTCCTCAGGGGTTCCAGACCCTTTATTGTATCTGTTGATGATATCATGTTTCAGAAGCCAGTTGAGATTGGATCCTTATTACTGCTTTCTGCACAGGTAGGAGTTGATTTCTTTTCGAAAAGGAGCAAACCTTATCTTTGCTGTGATCACTGCTAGTCACTGATAATAAACAGTGCCCTATGAGAGCGTGTGACTTTTCTTGTTAAATGGTGTAATGAAGTCTGTTGCAGTTTTCAGCACCAATGGTAAATTACAAGCTATAATTCTTGTTTTAACTGTGTAGGTCTCTTACACAGAAAAAAACTACATCCAGATTCGAGTGCACAGTGAAGTTTATGATGCAAATACCAGGGAGCACCATACTACCAATATCTTCCATTTTACATTTATATCAGAAAATGAGGTCCCACGGGTTGTACCTAATACATATGGAGGCAAGTATCCAATGAATATGTTGTCATCATAACTCTGTAGAAAAGATGACTTTCTCTTGAAACACTGGTCATTTTAGTAGATGAACTATTGGCATTTCAATAATTTAACAGGATTTCATGGCAAAACACATTTATTTTATGCTTTGATGACAGTGTGGATTGCTTCTTGCTTTTGCCAGTCTATATAGTTGTAGTTGCTCAGTATTGATACTGAGTTCTAATATGGTTCTCTCTTTTCTCCACTTTATTTCAGAGTCCATGTTGTATTTAGATGGGAAGCGACACTTCGATGCAGTCATGAAAGAAATCTGACAGGCACTGGGTGCTGCATCAGCAGTGTAGCAGCACTGTCTTGGAAAGAATGGCTAAAGGACAGGTGCTTGCAATACTCAAAAAACCCCCCAACAACCACCCAAAACGAAACCAAACCATAACAAACCCAAACTCCGCAACAAACCCTGCCTTTTTAGTGCTCTTTATGTATTTGCATATATTTGGATTTTTTATTGTTTGCTACTAGAATTTGTTGAAATCTACTTTTACATGCCAATGCTACAAAAAAAGGCTGAAAAATACAGTTTTGGCTTTAGATAGCTTCTGTTTTTCTACTTTGAGAGATCTCATTACAACCTTTGCCGTCTTGTCACCGTCGCCTTTGTTCCCTTAGTAGCTCTCCTTTGTGTTTCCCTGATAATGGATAGAAGTTCTGTCAGAAAAATGTGTGCAATAAGTAGATGCACCCAGGTGGAGCAATTTGAGCTACATTCTTGTTTGAATTAGCTTTAAGGTCATCATTTTTTTTTAACAGGGACACATGTATCTAGGCAGCAGCATAGGCTCAGAAGTTACTACTGTGTGCACAATGTAAAGCAGGTGTTTCCCATCAGTGGAGATTTTACAAGGTTATTGCAGCTTCTGTTTTGGATGGATTCACATTCCCTTGGGAGGAAACTGATTTTTGCAATGAAATGAGGTGGACAGGTGGTATCTTCTGGCATTCTGTTCGTGTACAGCCAGTCCTTGCCAGCCTCTTCTAACTTTTGTTAGTTTTAATATATAATAGTAAGTCAGTTCCTTAGTGATTTATTTCTCATGTCCTGGAGACTAGAGATCTGATTGGTAGGATTGGGTGGGACTGGGAAATGGCATTGTAGAACAGAACATTTTGGTTTATTAAGGATCAGGAACAAAAAAGGTAAAATGCTGCTCAAATGATAATGGCAATGTTTGATGCTGGAGTTAGGGGTCTAAAGAATCTTTGTTGAGCAGCTGCTGAATGGTGGGAGGATCTTTAACCCACTGAGGGGTGGTACAGCTAGAGGACAGCCTCCCCCTCAGCTGGATTATTTACCTGGTTCCTTGGGGGACTGAAATGCAGTATGAGTATTGCATAGGTTGGCAAGTTTACCTGTGAAGGACAGAGTACTCTCCTACCACAGAGGGGACTCTATGGTGGACATAACTATGGCAACAGGAAGTAATAGGAAGAAAGTAATGGATACTGAAGTGCTTCTGATGTAATGTAGAAAGTTTTAATAATCTTGAGTATCTGGTAGATACAGCTCAACATCTTGAAATCAGGAAGGTGAGGGGATGGGAGGCATCAACTTTTAGCAGTGAATATAATTATCACAAGCACAAAACTAGACCTCTGATACCTTCACATCAAGACTGATATCCTGTTTGATCAAGACACACAAAGAGGAGTTTGGCTCAGTGGTAGTTAAATGGATGACATGTGATGCCTTATGATACACAAAAACAGACTCTGACTTTAGATAACAGGTTGATAAAATAAAGCATCATGTTATGCTTTTGTTTCTGAGTAAGAAAATCTGAGAAATTCATAATTAGGACCAGTTTCCTTTGGTGCTAGGATGGCATGAAGTTCCTGGCTCCTGACAGCTGATTGCTGTTCCTGTCAGGGTGAGCATTGTAATAACCAGCAAGTTGCACATCAGCCTTTTCTTTCTAAGACTTGGCTGCTGTTACTGAGGAGTGGGATCAACAGCTTTCCAGTGGAGGCACAGGGGTGTTGCCTGTTCAGATCAATGCATTGCCATGATAGTAACTTCTTGGTTCCTTCTGTAGGGTTTCTCTCTTCAGCCATACTCCAGTGCTGACCCAGCTGTATGATTTTATAATCTTTTTCTTTAACGGTTTTGATGCTGTGGAGATATGTTGTATTTTATGGGCTTCTGCCTTTTAAAACTCTTTGGAAACTCAATATACTTGACTGACTACACAAATAAAAAACTGAAATTCTGTCTCAGCTTCTTCCCCCCTCACTGCAGGGATCAATGTTCACTGTTAAAAAATAAATGGGAAGGTGGCACGTGGAGGGATCTATTTCAGAACTGTGTATTACTCCTGACTAGCTGCAGGTTTTTATTATTGACCCAGTGGTCCTATTTGGGTTGCTTTTTTATAACACTTGTAAGTTAAGGGGATACAAAGTTCTTCCTCTACTGCCTTTTCAGCTGCATTTAAAAAAAAAATAATTATCATAATTTCTGAATTCAGCCTTTGGGAAGGGATGGGAGAGGAGAAAAGGTAATAGAGTAGGGAGGAAGGCATGACATCAGAACCTCTGGACACAGTGAAGAAGATGAATCCTTCAAATTACGATGCTTAGAAAAAGTGTGTTATCAAACTTCATGATAATCACATGCCACAATGACAGCATTTACAGAAATGTATGTACAGACATACTGAATGTGTGTGTATATATATACACATATGTAAAAGATACTATATGTCTTTCTGTTTATTACTATATATATGAGCTCATGCATTTTTTACTCTGAGAAGGTAACTCCAAGTTGTCACCTCTCTGGTGATAGGCTACATGTGTCTTTGTTCAAGGGTATGCATGCTGCTTTATACCTTTGTGTGTGAGAGAAAATTGTTCTCAGATCTCAGAATTAAAATATTTTAACATAGTAATTAATGTTGGGTTTATGTTGCAACTTAATGTCCAACCCGTCACTGCTGTAGGTGACTAACCATTACCACAGAAGCCTAAAGGAATTGGTAGATAATCTTTGTATTTATAGTAAGCCTATCTATATAACTGACTGTGGCTCTGTAGTGGGAAGTTAATGTTTCTGTGGCCATCATGTCTTGGAATGCCATCAGGAGGGGGAGCAGGATTGCCTCCCCCCGCTCGCTTAATGGTGATATAAAAGGAGATTTCTGTGGGACTGGCTGAACTCAGTGCCCAAGAAAGCGCTTTCTTTTAAATGTTTTTATTTTTCTGTGGCTAAAAAATAATATTAAAATTATTACTCAAACTTACGGCTTCTGGTACCCCTTTTTCCAATATGCACCATTCCTTTGCAGGCATGTCATGGTGTTCAGCACTCTGGGAAGAAGCTTGGACGAGCTGGAGCAGCAGGGGCTGCTGAGAGAGGGTTTTAGTTCAGAAACCTACTCTAAACTTACTGCATGCTCAGTTGGTTTTACTGCACATTCAGTCCAACCTTTGTCTGGTGACAGACTGGTTTGATTGCTGATCCTCCTCTGAATGCATTTTTAACTAGGTGTGGGAGAGAGGATGCACAGGCTAGGCACTAGTTAACAGGAAAAAAAAAGGGTAAATATTCAGCTTTAAAGAAAGAGAAACTGGGGACTCCTTTTGTGGAAGTTGTAATTGGATGGTGATATTGGAGCACTTGTCCTGACAGCAGAGATCCTTATCTCTGCAGGGCTCCTGTCCGTGAGGCTTAGGCACTGCTGGGAATTGGCTGCTCCCTATCTTCTCCTACACAGCACAAATGGGAGGTTGCTGGAAGAAGGGAATGCAGCTCTGGGGACTGGGCAAAGGAGAATGCTACAGGTTCTGGTCCTTGCTCACAGTGTCACTTCTTTACTTTATCTGGTAACTGTTCAGCTCTTTGCTTTTTGTGTTGAGAAGACAGCTTCAGAGTGCTGTTATTTTTATCTGAAATTCATGCTTCTTCAATACTTCTGGAAGTGACATCTGGGTCTCAGCTAGACCCATCCTGCCTGGGGAGGTGGCTTTCACCTGCAGACCTCACCACCACATATATTTTAACAGCTGAGAGAGCAGTGAGAGCAGTCGAGGGGTGTGAGAGGCTTACCCAAAATAGCAGTGAAAGTTGAAGACTGTGTCTCTTTATTAGTTAGTTGCTTTGCAGGAGCATTTTTGCTTTTTCTGTTGAGAAGACAGGTTCACAATGGCATCTGCATTTCGTGCACTTCCAAGAGAGGCCCCTGAATACATCCCAGGGTTTGGGAAAGCAAAGGTCTGTGACATCTAATTCTTCCACTATTTCAGACCTCAGGTGAAGAGTACTGGAAGAACAGATTGCTTTGTCATTTCTTCATTTCAAATATGTGCGGTCACGTGGCAACTCAGGTCTTTGCTTAAGGACTATTTCCCTGAGACCTTTTATGCCTATTGAACTGCATTTAGAAAAAAAATATAATTCCTTAGCCAATTCCTTACTGCATGCATTGAAAATACCAACGTGAATTTAAAAAAGGCTTCAAAGCTGATGGAGCTACACTGCTGTGAGCCTAAATTTACAGTGGTCAAAGTCTGCAGATGGCCCCAGTTTTCTTCAGTCACTAAGTGTTCTCAGTCCTGTTTTCTGTTCTTGGCTCAGAGTTTGTACAGCTTTTGACATCTGCTTTAGTTTGATGCTTTTGCTGCTGTATGAGCTACCACGATACATCCTGTGGTTTTGTTGCTGTAACTCTCCACCTTCCTGGCTCCACAAAGAACTGTGGCCTGGGTGGAGCATGTTCAACACATGGGTGATAACTCATCTCTGCCTTCAGCATGTCTCATTGGCTGGCTCAGTGACTTCTCCCAGCTGGAGAAGTGGGCAAAGCCTCTGGGGAGCAGGGCACAGACACCATTTCTGGTGGAGGCACAAGTGTTGGGCTTATGCTGTGCCTTGAGCTACCGTGAATACCCATGTAACAGCTGGGCCTGCATTCATCACACTGCAGTGGCTTGGAGTTATTTGAATGTTCTCTGTGTTGATGTTTTTGCTGTTTCAGGGTTGATAAGGCTGTAAAAAAAATCCCAAGTAAAATTCAAGCAGCTGGTTACAGCCTAGTAATGTGAGGAACTGCCTCTCTACGTGCTGCCCTCCAGGCTTTGCGATCACATGGACTGGAGCAGCATTTACCAGCCTGTGGGGTTTGGCGCTGATCCTGCTCTGCCTCTGTTACACTCTGGGTGGGATGAGGGACTCCTCCTTTCCCCAGGCCTCACAGGGGAGGCTGGGGCTTGGTGGAGCTCTGTGCTCTGGCCGTGGCTCCCTCTGCAGTAGGTACATGCTTAGGGGTTATTTGTCAAGCAGCCACTTCTGCTCTGTGTCTGCAGTGAGTAAGCCCAAGAACTGCACAGTACTCACCTGAGTCTAAACAATCATGTAACTTCACAGTGAAAATGCAGCTGCTGGTCTAGTTCTGCAGAACTGAAGTGTCTATGTATAGGGAAGGGAATTGTATGGTTGGGTGGAGGAAGGGGAATTGAGTTCTCAGGTGTTTGGGATCCAACCAAGAGTAATGATGTAGTGGTGTAGACTGGAGCAGGGAGGAAGGCGCCTTTTGCCTTTCCAAGGATGACCCTGGTGAAAAGCTGACACATTTCATTTCAGTTGCTGTTTTTCCAGTTGCACAGACTCTAGAATACCATATCAAAAAGAGGGAGAAGTGGGAAGGAGCAAGACAAGACATTGGGGTATTCCAGTGCACACAAGTGTTATCTTACATGGAGATGTTCTATTCCCTTGAAAGAAGAAATTCATGCATATGAGCCACTAGAGTGCAATGTGATCACTGCACATGTCAGTACTAATCCTGGGAAAGACTACAATTACTGCCTTAAAACTGGGAGCTGCTAACCACTATGTTCATCTGTTAACAGTGTAGGGACAGGGAAAAAATTCAGACCATGTGAAAACAGATTGATCTTATCAGCAAATAGACTACAAATTCAAGCGTGGAAAATTCACTGGTTCAGCTCTTGAATCACATGAACTGGCATAGCTGTATTTTCTTCAGAGCAGTCATACTGATTTATGTAGCATAGGGGATATTTTTAGTAGTTTAAAAATGTTTTCCAGCTTCAGATGGACTGGAAATTTAATTCAGCAACTGTCACTTATTTCTGGCTTTTTGGTTAGTTCCTATTGCCTCTGGACTACAGACTAATGTACCATAACCAAATGGCTCTTTTCTAGCTGTAGCTCCTAGAATGTGACCAAACAAAAGAGTTTTGTGGAAGTAATCTAGTAATACCAAAAAGCCATGAACCTAAGCCCAAGCTGCTAAAATAAGAAAATCTGGGGAAGACTGAGCATCTAAACAAGACTTAAAGGAAAAACATGTAGTTCATAAGAATATTCTCTGATAACTAATGAGGTACCTGTGCTTTACACAGGTTAGACTTCTGTTTAAACAATGAGGTCTTTAATGTTTTACAGCAGTTACATATTAGACAAACTCACAAAAGTACCAAAATTAATGAAATTTTATTGGCAAAAATCAAGTTGAATGTGACCTATGTAATTCAACAGAAGCAAGCCTCAGTTTAGTTTATCAAAATACTTCAGTTTTCCAGCTGGATCTGGAATTATCTGTGCAAGAAAGAAAAGGACAATGTTAGTCAAAAGCCATGAAAACACAGCAAACTATAAAGCCAAAACAGCACAGTATTTCATAGTAAGATACTATGGCCAACTCACTAGCAGCACTGAATAATTTATCAGTTGACTTGGTACTAGATTACTGTTGATCTCTAAGGGTACTTCACGGCAGTAGCAGAGAGATTTAACTAATTGAGGCATGAGAGAGAGTGCAGCCTACCAAAGGAAGAATTTTGACAGCTTGCCCCAAAAGCAAGATATTTTAATAAACTAATGTCTGTAATCCGGAGTCTTACAATTTACTTACAGGTCTTCCCTTGGCCACCACACTCTCATGGCTTCCTCTGGTTTAATCTAATTAAATCAAACACATTTAGAAAGCATGACTACATCTTTGAGAAAGGCTTTTTGAACTACTCTGCTATTTAAATTATCTGCAACTTTTGCACAGAGGAGATTTTTAAACTGGCAGTATTGGAGCTGTTAATCTCAGCACTGTAAGACTGTTTTTTAGAAAACATGTTAATGTCATGTTATTTAGATGATTCTAGTTATGGAGGGCAGAAGTTTTTGGTGCCAAAATATGAATGTTAGGTCAGCCAGCTCTCTTTTCATTTTACAGTCTTAATATCCAGCTTCCCCCACTACAACACTCCTCTGTTAGCTTGAAAAAATTGACTCCTAGCCTCCAGTCATCCTGGGAAGTTTTCACATCCAGTGAAGAAACATGGTTTAACATTCCACTGTTTTTTACTTTCAAGTACAATGCTCACTAACTCTGCTTAGAGGCTGCTGGGACCTGCTTTTTGCTGAGACAGCTCTTAAACAACAATGCTCTGTCATCAGCATTTGGTTCAGAAGGAAGCCACATGCTCAAATACATGACAGTGATCTCATCCCAACTAGGCAGCTCAGACCTCTAGTGAAAGTTTCATTATTCTGCTGAGGCTGCTCCAGGCCAGAGAACACAAACAAGTTCAATGGGTGTTTATCTGAACGCTGGCTCCTGTGCCTGCAGTCACATGGAGGCGAGGAATAACAGAGGAAGACCAACTGCACAGCAAAGGAGTGCTCTCTGCTGGAGCACTGGCAGTGGCACGCTGGCTCTGGCAGATACTACAGCAGCCTGGGAACTTGTATCTTTCTTTTTTTGGGTAGTGCCTAGGATCTGCAATAAGAACCAACAGCACCAGGAATTTATATGGACAAATAATCAAGGAGATAGAAAAACCTCAAGAGTTTCCAACTTCCCCTCATCACATTGTTAACAGGAAAAAAAGTTCTTGATCACGAACTCTTTGCTGATCAAGAGAATTTTGCTCACACACTGGGAATTTGAAACAACTGGAACATGTCTAGTGTGAGGGAAATGAGATCTCCATGAAATCAATAGTAATCCAAAAGCTGTCACTGTAATAATGTGAGATTACTCATACCTTCTCATTGAAGGTTGCAAAGATTTTGGATTTGGCTCTATGGGAAATAATAACCGAGTGTTTGTTAGCAGTAAATGCATGTAAATATAAACAGTGACTTACTGTTTCACTGCCAGGTTTCCAACCAGCAGGGCAAACTGGAAAAAAAAGGACAAAGTTAGCCAAAGTATTTTTGCACATGCTGGCTTTTGTGCACTTAATATTTTCTTTCTGACCTTGAAGTAAAACACCACACAAGTGTCACACGTAAATATCTGAAACTATAAAATGTGCAATGACACCCCCCCCCCCCCGAGAACTGTGGATCTCTGGATGGATAACTATGCCTTGGTTTAATTCTTCTGGCCTTCTAGACAAAGTACTGGCAAAGCAGTACCTGAGAATGAACACCTATTCTAGTAGAAATAAGTTTCTTAATAAAATTCACATGACTACAGAGGCCTACCTTTCTTTCTTTAAAACCAGAACTAGGGAAATTTTTTAAGCAAAGAGATCAGCTCAAAGATTCCACAAGAGATTTTGTTTGGAGCCTTGCTTAGGCCTAAAGGGGTTGTAGCACAAGTTTACCACACAGTGTGGCTGGGGGCCCCATGACCACCTGTACAGCTGCACGTTCTGGAGTGAAGCTCTTACCTGTTCAGAGCTCTCCCCCTGAGGCTTCAGCCCAATGAGTTATGCCATTTTACACTGCTTTAAGGCATTCTGACAGACAAAATGCCACCAATGCAATTAGGAATTGTGAAGAACTGTTTTTCCCATTCTGTGCAAAGAAGCCAATAAGGCATCTAGAGAGTCTCCTCCCAGCATTCATGCAAAAGCTGGAAAAAATGTGGTACTCTGGAAACACACTGCAGATCAATATTCTGTAAGATGGTTTTGTAGCTAAATGAGGGTAAACTTCCTTAGTCAAATGTGTGTAGCCTAAGCACCAGCATTTATCTTTTCAGATCTGTACAGCAAAGCATAATAATGATTTGCACCTTCACATAAAGGTACTTTCAAATTCTCAGTTAAATTGAGTTGAATTGGAAGTCAAGCTGCTGAACATGTGTATTCATATTTAAACAAATCTTCCAATAAATGAATGTGTTTATTTAAACACATTATTTAAAGAAATGTGAAAAGTTCACGTTGTGCTTGAACTGGAGGAACATGAAGTCTTGAGACAAAGTAATAATCTGAAGCCAGTGAAAGCTTCTTTGTCAGGGGAAGATGGTCACATAGCCCTTGTAAAGAAAACACAACTAATGCACTGTAACTTCCACAGTATTCCCATGTATCGTGACATGAAACACACTCGGTTACTCGTCACAGGTCCTCAGTGAATGGCACAGCACAAGGATGGCCTGCATCTCAACTATTTTAGTATGCAAAAATGTACTGGAATATTGGGCCTGCTTCTTCACAGCCTCACATTTTGTACAAATTTTTGCTTTTGACACATGGTACATAATGCCTTAATTCAGACTAAGGAATGCTTTATGCTCTGCATTCTCATGGATGTGAAGCAAAATGTGAATTACTATTCCAGAAACAACTTAAGGAGGTACTGGAACCCCAGGACCCTGTAGGAGGGCAATCAAAGCACTTCAGTCACGGCATGACACCAGTCACTTTCCTGCAAAAAGCTACAAACACAGCTTCCAGTCTAAGTAAAGCTACCTTCAATGTGACAACATTTAAAAGAGCACCTTCTCCATGTTTGTCTGTGTACTGGAATGCTTGTACCAAACGAAGTGTTTCATCCACTGATCTTCCAACAGGAAGGTCATTCATTGTGATCTGTCGAAGGATTCTCTTATTGTCAATAATGAAAAGGCCTCTGTGAAAAAAAAAATGTGTGCATGTTAGGAAAGAGAATTAATTATAGTGTTGGGTTTACGCACTATTTTATGTCTGCTGGATGGGAGGAATTTGATCTTTGCAAACACCATACAATACCCACTGCTTCAGAATACTGGTAACATACTATTCTTTACCTGGATATCAGATGACCTGAGCTGAGGGTAAGTTAAAAACAGAAAAGGATACTTCTCTGCAGAACATAAAATAAGCTTTGACAGGCCCTGCCAGGGGATGCAGCAGATGCTATGGAATTACAGGGATCCCAAAAGCAACTATTCCGTTTTATGAAAGATGTATCTCTTGAGGCTATGAGGTAACCTTAGTTTTGACTCCACTTGGACATGGGAGATCCCTGAGCAACTGCAGTTCTGTGGAATCCTGCATATTTGCCCTGCCCTAGGTATCTGCTGATGACTGCTGTTAAACAGGATATTAACCTTGACCCGTGTTCTGACTCATTATGACTTTTTTGTGTTCTTCTACATTTATTTTGTCTCTTGGCATGAATCTCCAAGTAAAGTCTGATCTCAAAAAAAAATTTCAAATAAATTTCAAATTTCAAAATAAAGCAGTAAGTACTACCCCAGCAAAAACCCAAGAGAACTGTAACCAAGTCAAATACCTAAGTGTATGTCCTTGATCTTCCAGATACACTCCATAATCCTTTGAAATCTGATGTGTCAAATCTGAAAGAAGGGGAATCTTCATCGGTCCAAGTCCTCCTTGTTTTCGAGGAGTATTAATCCTTTGAAAGAAATGAGATACAGATGTATTTCTCGTAAAGGTTTACATTCCCTACACAAAGCCAGAAGTCACAAACCAGAACAGTGCAGACAGAAGGATTTAGTGCAGGCGACATTTTTTTGTTCTGCATACAAAGGAGATGAACACTATTTACAGTTTGAGCAAAATGTTCAGCAGATCTTTTGCAGGTTTTGGCCACATCTTTCTTGTCAGTTGCATTTGCTTTATGCCACCGTGCTCACAAATTGGGACAGTGTGAAACATTTACAGATACTTGCATTCTCTTTTTTTTTTGTATTTGTATTATTTTTTGACCTGAGACATCATGTATTTCAAGTAATACGAATTAAACAACTTCAAAGATAAAGGCAGTTTCACACACTAGGGTTAAATATTTTTATTTTAAACATTTGTGTCAACAGCATCACGCTTTCATACATTATGATACACTTACACAGGCTAAAAATCTGGGGACCATTGTTGCATAAGATGGATCCATGAATAATTTTTAGTGAAAGGAAAAGTAAGGTACATACCATGCTAAGTGAGTGAACTTTGAGTCCACAGAACATGCTACTACTTCGGTATTTATTGCTCTGAATTCTTCAATTCTGTCGCTGAAGGCGATTATCTCAGTTGGACAGACAAACGTACTAGAAAATTTAAGACAAGATAAAGTCAAAATTTCATAAAACATCCAGTAAGTTCTTTGCTTAACTTAAAACGATGGATTTATCATAAATTATTTCAGTTTTTGCTTAATTTCCTTGCTTCTTCAGGTGTTTAACTAAAATGTTGCCTGACAAATCTTCCACCCTCAGACTCTGGCTTAGTTACAAATGGTTTATTACTGAAGATTATAAATCTACAGTTATCCTACAATCTGAATTCAGAGTTTTTTAGTTACTTTCTTTTAGACTTTATGAATATTAAGTGGCTGAATTTAAGTAAAATAAGCCAATTTTTCAGAGGGTGATACTATAATTTGTTGTTACCGTGCATGTCTGCAAATTTTAATTAATTTGTCTTCAACTTTTTGGACTACAGAAGAAATAAAGTGGTAAATATTACAATTTATAGGGCTTTGAAGCTAATGATATTATAATATTAAAGTAGTTAAGTATCTCTGTCCCCTTCATTTTGTGGAAAAGAATGAGATTGTCTCTCAGAAAGCAGAGATGTTTTCACTCAATCAGTAAATTTACTGCATTCTAATAAAGGAGGTTAATAGTTGTTATGGGATGAGCTTAAAGGAAAAATGCCACCACTACATACACTCTAGAAAATATAGATGGGGTGCTGCCTTCTATTTGCAGCAGTGATTTACAACATCAAACAGAACACAGAAGTTGCCTGAATGGGTTATACAAAGTTGGCTTTTTTTTGTGGAGAAACAAATTAGTGGACACGCTTATTAGGACAAAGATTGTGTTACAATTTTACCAATGCATGATGAAAACACAAATGCAAAGAATATATTTTCTTCTGTCACTCCTTTCTTCTCTCCCAAATTCTTACCAAACAAAAATACAAGACCTCAAAAAAAGAAAAAAATTAATGCATTATGAATCAAGTGTAGCTGCACTCAGTCTTGGTATGTCTATTGTGGTCTTACTTACAAGTCAAGAGGATAGAAGAAGAAGACAAGGTATTTTCCTTCATAATCTGTTAATTTCAACTCTTTAAACTCTCCATTGATGACTGCTGTTCCCTCCCAGTACGGTGCTGGTTTGGAGACTGAAATGCAAAGAACATTGAATTAAAAGTCGGAATATGAAGCCCATGTTCAAACCAAGCTGTCCAAGGACAGCTGTTCTTCCTTTTGCTTGAAAAACAACCTCCCGCACAAGTTACAGAGTGAAGCCGCTTTGCTGCTCTAATCAGCGATACAAAATCATGAAGAAATGTAGGTTTTAATACACATGGAAAGTAAATAATTTGACCAACTTGTGCTTATACATGAGCCCTGTGAATCACTGATAATCAAGGCCACACAAACCTTATCTGGGCACACTGAACAAACCATGTGTGCACCACCAGCTCAAGGCAGAACAGCTGCTAGACTGAAGGGGAAGCCGATTAATATTTTGGGTATCCCCACTATTTTGTTATGAATGGCTGTTGTGAACCAGAAGCATAAGATGGTTCAAATCCATACTGTTAGTTTTCAGCCATGGAAAACTATTTGAAATTCAAGTCCACAAAAAATGCTACAACGTGTCTGGAGACAAATGCCTAAAAATGTGGTGTATATTTATTAAATTACAAATCCTAAGCAAATTGTAACTTGAAGATAGCTGTGTTAAAAAAATCCAATTAAAATGCATGATATATATTTACTATTCCTATCAAAAGGGACTAACCTCGAATTTAAAATATTAAAAATTAATCTGCCAGGTACTATTTTCATAGCCATGTGAATTCCAAGGATAGGGTATGCTGGAGGTACAAGGTCATCTGAATACACTTGTGTATCACGGACACTGACATGCAGCTCCATGAAATTAGGCAAATGCTTCTGAGAAAAACATATGGAATCTTAATTATTACCTGGATGGCTCTCCTTTTAGGACAACCAATCCACACTGTAAAATATGGTCAATGAGGATGTATAACAAAGACCTCCAGATTAGGAGGGAGAAGGAAAAGAAATTTAATACTTTTTATCTTTATCTCTTCCTATATTAAGGTGATTGTTTTTACAGTTATAAATGCCTGTCTGTAATAATTTACATTGCAAAGGGAGGAAAACCCACACAGCATTAATTATGAGTATCTTGGCTGATTTCTTTTTTTTTTTTTTTTTTTTTTTTTTTTTTTTGGTAGCATCTGCTTGCAAACATTTAAAACAGAACTTAAAGCCTGGCTCAGAAAAGTATTTTCAAGCTCTAAATTCTCACAGTGAAGATAATTTCTGTGCGATTTCTCTATTCTCTGTTCTGCAGAACGGGATTTTTGGAAAGCAGGTGCCCCCTGAACATCTCACTGCGACGCGATTTAAGGTCTTTGCACCCAGGTCTGCCACAAAGGCTTTAAATCACAAGAGAGCGAGCACAGGCACGAGGTGCCCGTTCAGCGTTTCCCATCGCACCGAGAGCACAAAACAATTCTGTGCACTGCTCAAAGCGCTTCCCTTAACCCCTTCGCCATTCCGGGGAGCACGGGCCTCGCCGGACGCCCGCGAAACGCCAAACTCGCAGCCAAGTGCCCACGATGTTAATGCAGGCCTGGAAGGGGCTGGGGGAGAGACGGGAGCTCACCTTCCTCCCTCCCTCCCTCGCTCCCCTCCCGGAGGCCGCAGCGGGGCCGCGGGAAGGGAAGGGCCGGGGAGCGCTCGGGGCTCCGCCTGACGTGGCGCTGCCGCCGCCGCTCCCGCAGCGCACTGCGGGCACATCCCCCGCCTGGCCCCGCCACACCCGCGCCCCCGGCGGCCCCGTCCCCGCCCGGCACCTACTCTTGGCCTGGCTGAGGTGCAGCGAGTGGTCGGACACGGGCAGCCGGGCCGCCTCCCCGGGGTACACCTGCCCTCCCGCGTAGTAATGGCACTGCTCGTCCCCGCGCTGCCGCGCCGGGCGCGGCTTCTCCGCCCCCGCTTCGCCTCCCAGCGCCGCCGCCGCCGCCAGCAGCAGCAGAAGCCGCGCACGGCTCCGAGCCCCGGCCCCGCCGCCCGCTTCCATGTCCCGCCGAACGACTGCACGTCCGCGAGGGGCGGCGAGGGGCGGTGGCGCCGCCGGGGAGGGGCTTGGCCGGCCCGCCCGCACTCGGGCCCGCAGCACCGCCGGGCCCCCGCGCTGAGGGACCGCGGGCGGGGGGGGAAGAGGGGCCGGGGCAGCGCCACCTCCTGATCGGGCACGGCCTCCCCCTGACCCGGCACGGCCACTCCCGGGCTCGGCTCAGCCAGCCCCTCCTGGCACAGCCACCCCCTGACACGGCACAGCCACCCCCGGGGTCGGCTCAGCCGCTCCTGGGCCTGGGTGTGCAGAGAAAGAGAGGAAACAACACCACACGTGTGTGTGGAGAGCGCGCACACACGGTCCGGTGCGTGAGATTGCAGAAGGAAACTATCGATATCAGAGGCTTCCTGCCTGGTATCATCTCTCTTATCTGTGGCACCGTGGGTTCTGTGGGCACGGCATCACTCGTGGTCGTACCCATCTATGCCAAATACAGCTTGTACGTTGTGGCCTCATGAACACACAAAATGTGGAAAGGGTACTTGCTGTGAGTTGAACTGCTGCCAGCTGGGCAGCAACTCACCCATGAACTCCACGTGGCGCACGTGGTGGCTGTGTTAGGAGTGTGGTTACACAGAAATGAAATACTGAGTGCCTCAATTCACAGTCATCAAATGGTTTGGGTTGGAAGGGACCTTTAAAGGTAATCTACCAACAGCCTTGCAATGGCAGGGTCATTTTCAACTAGATCAGGTTGGTATGGTATGTATGTAGGTATGTATGTGTGGTATGGTGCCTGTGCCAGAATGAGCAGTACAATTTCTCTCTCTCTCTCTTTTTTTTTTTTTTTTTTTTTTTTAAATGATACAGAACAAGCACATAAAGAGCAGAGGCAAAAGGAAATGCTCTGGGCCATTTTTGATGAATACAAGCTCTATAAAAGAAGAAAGGGATTAGTGAGGCACCTATCATTATATGTTGTGTCTTGAACAAATCCTGCTATTTTTCTGGTTTCCTGCAAAAGAATCCATTCTTATCTGAAAAGAGGGATATAAAAATATCTAAGATTTTTCACAAAATTAAATTTACAGAAGTGGGAGAAACATGATCTTGTGGGCATGCTTGCGCTTCTTAACCTGTGATTTTATTGTTCCTTGCTCCCAAAGCTCTGACTTCTATCCAGAAGGTGCTCCTTTTCTTTACCATCTCTTGTAATATTTTCCTTTAAGTTCCAGTCTAGGAACTTAAGTTCTGGCAAGTTAGGGATCATGCCATTCATATTCTTACTGTCACAATAATAACCTTCCTTGGGCATATTTGCCCACCTGAAGGGATTCAAGATTACTGAGCTGGAGAAAGGTAGGGCTCTGGAACAACCCTCTGACAATTATAGGAGCAAAATACCTGCATAGTTATCAGGCTTGATCAGCATGTGTGAAATTGCAAAAAAAAAAAAGTAAATGTCTGCCTACAGGCACAATGGACTTGATGGCACATGAGATCCCCTTGTCTTGTTTTTTTCACACAGAGTTGATGGTGGCCATTCTCTGATTACACCTCCCAAAATTTTGGAAGCAGGATAAAACCTATTCTTTTCAATGCTGCCGTTTGACTCCCCCCTCTTCCCTACCCCCCAACCAAGGGCATGTCATTAAAAGGAGGATGAACAAAAACCATTTGCTCATGTTGAGCACTCTGGCTGTGGTGGGAAACAGCACTTCAACAATCTTTGTACTCCCACTGATTTCAGACTGAGACAAGCTTTACATTTAAGCTTGCTAAAATGTGTTGATAGATGACTGTCTTACACGATCCAACTCTAGTAGCACTGAATTTAATATCAAGCTTTCCTCAATCTCACTGCTTGTAAGAAAAGTGACAGTCATGGCCTCTGTGAGTTCACAGAGGAAGTTAAATTGGTTGTCCCTGCTCTTCGTGCTGCTGTTTTGAGCCATAGGAAATGGCAGTGATTTGAAAAGTAGTCACACAGTGAAGCTGAAAAAAATGAGCAGTTCTGAAGTAGGCACTCTGCATAATGTTAACATCCCTCATTCAAAAGATATTCAGAAATACCTATAAATGAGAAAGAAAACAAGTGAAATCAATGCAGTAAAAATAGAAAAAAGCAGTCCTCTTGTGAGCAGAGAAAATCCTGAAGGACAAAAATGGGTTTTATCTGCAGAATGTAATGTTAGTTTAATAGCTCTAATTTGAAGTTCATATGGAATTAAGTATATATAGACATGGAACAGAGTTCAAAAGAGCAACAAGAAAGACTTTCTGGCTGCTGCTGTACTCTCAAGACTTCTGCAAGTGATTAAAAAATGAAAAATTTCATAAATGAAATCCAAGATGAAATCCAAATATATATCACTCTTCAGTGTCTAAATGGAGAAGACAGGCAGCCTGCTTTCTTTACCCAGTGATGAAATACTTGAACTGAATGCTGATTTTGGTGTTTAAATTGACAAAATTAAGTGATGCTGTTAAAGTGTGATAAGAAGGACACTGGGCTACCTTCATCCTGCTGTACAGCTCTTCTGAAGTCAGTAGGGCTTACCATGAACAAAGGGAAATCTCTTAAATCCTTCCTTTCCTCCCCTGTGCTACAGGCTCTGTTCCTGCATGTCATGCCATATCCAGGCCCACAAGGATGGGTCAGTTTGGCAAAGGGCTTGATAGTGGCAGGGTGTCATTGCTGTGGTGGCAATGTAAGCAGTGGTTTACGCCACTAAAGCAGTTTAGAAATGGTTATGGAGGTTTTGTCTGTTTTTGCTTGTAGTAATAAAACACCTCATTATAATTTAAATGACCTAATATAACAGTATCTTGGAAAAAATAGTGTAGTATATTGTAACGATATCTGTCACTGTTTCCTGGAACAGATGTTCAAGACTGTGCTGGTGAAACTAGCAGTTGGTTTTATCCTCATGGTTTACAGGGACATTTTAACAAATGTATTGCATTGCTTGTCATGCATGACAGAAAATCTATAGCATAAGAAACTTTGCTGGAGAAAGCATCTCTTTTGTAAGCAGAATTGGATCAGAATGACCATAATTAAAATTACCAGTTATGGAAGTCTTCTCTTTGGCTTTTGCTAAGGCTAGACTGGTGGGGTCAGCTGTGTGTGCACCGACTGCAAAGGCTGAGAGCGCTGAGTGGTGCCATTTGCTTTGACAAGAACCTCATCCTGACGTCTGATTGCTGCTAATGTCAGCTGGTGGAAGCAGTAAGGCTGAGTAAAGATAAATACAGACTTTGTAAAATCTACCACTTTGTAGAGTAGAGGTAGCATAGATATAATTATTCCTGTAACCTACCTTTGGGGAATGTGCTAGCGTTTGGAGATGAATTCATGTTTTTCCTCTACAAACACACCTGCCATAGAAAAGTTCTGCTTCATTTCTTCCCTTCCTCCTCCAGCTGGCTCTGTTTCTTGTGGCATTGGTGTCAGAAACAATACAGGGCCTGTGTGATAGGAACAGAACAGAGCACATTACTGGTGTGTTTGACTGAGCATGGTAAAAAAGAGTGGTTGACACTGCTAGCCACTGGGTGATGCAGGAGTGTGGTTTCTAAAGCACCTCCTGTTCCAAGCTTTCTTCTGCTTCTGTAAATGCTGACAGAATCTATGAGTTTGTGAATATAAACAAACATTGTGAAACCACTTTCTTGACTTGATAAATCATGTAGTCCTTGCAAGGCTCCATCAGTTTTCCTTTGCCTATCACCTGGGGCAGGGGGCCGTGTTCAAGTGTGGTTATGCTCTGTCCCATTTTTTAATTCCTTTAACAGGCATGTATTTAAAGAAAATGTCCAAAATGTCTCTGTGCATTAGCACATTTTTTGGGCAGTTGTGAGGACAGAGAAAGTCAGCTCTGAACACCACCTATTAGACATATGCTGTCCTCTACAAGTCAGTTAACTGTGAAGGACAGTTGAGGTATTGCACCAGAAAACCAATGCTGGACATCTGGACCTACCCTTGGCAGCATGCTGATGATGTGCCCTGAGACCATCACAGCTAGAAGCCTGCTATCCAAAATAACCCATCTAGCTTTGTCTGGTGTTGCAGACCAAGAGAGACCTTTACCCACAGAGTAGTAACCCCACTGTGCCAAGTGTAGTGATCTTCCTCAGTGACATTCAAAGGGATTCACAGGCTCCTGCCCTTGGGGTCCCACCTGTGGTTCTGCCTTCTCAGGTCTGAACTTAGACTAGCAAACTCTGGTCCAAGTCTTGAGCTCAGTCAGCCTTTGGGAAAAGGTGGAAAATTTGTCACCTCTGCTCAGACAAAAAGCAGAGCTGTGTCCTGCCCTTGCAGGTGCCTGAACCTCATGGATAGAAAGAAGCCCTGTGGCAACTCAATTTCATGTTCTCTCAAACCAGAACACAGACATGGTGCTGATGTTTATTGGTGATGCCTGGGTATGCCTCTTCTGTGGGTAGTCACTAAAGCCTTGCTCAAGCTCACAGGTGTGCTACCTGCCTTGCATTTGGGCAGCAACCGAAAATGGAATATATAGCTGTTGTCAAGTAAATATACCCTGCTGTCTGAAGAGTGGGTGATCCCATCAAGATCTGTGGAGGAGAGAAGGCTGCATTCCCAGGATAGTGGGATGATGTGATCTTAAAAAATTTCCAACTTGCCTCCTTGTGCTGGACTGCCTTCCCCTCTTCAGTATTATCTTGCAAAGCTTTTTATAGTATCTATTTTCTGGCAGTGTTACATACCTAAATTTGCCTTTGTTTTCTGTTTGGACTTATGAAAGAAAAAAATGGCTTTTGGTGAAAAATATTCATGTACCTTGATATGTTAGTTGCTTTTACATTGCTCACTAGATGGCAGTAAGGTGCTTGTTATACTAATTAAAAAAATTGAAGTAATGTATTCTCCACGTGTCTGAAATTTCCTAAAATCTGAGGATATGGCATTTTCTTCTCTAAAATACAAGGTTCACAGGTGTAGGAAATGTAAGTAGAAATCTATATTCAATCCTCATAAACAACCCCTGTTCGTGT